GCAATTTGTAGTCACTCAGGTGCCATGGCCTTGACACCAAACTCGGTCACCTGTAGCTCCAGCATTGGCGACTCGGCTTTTGATTTAGAGCTTCGCACCCGGTTTGCCATCTGAGTTGGCCGGTTTTATTCGGTTTTTGCGGGAGACCGGCGACCAAGAGGAGAAGGGAGCACCTGAACACCTTTTTTGAAAAGTCCAGGCGGGCCTCTGGATATTCCCACGTTTGTTGGTTGGCGGTTAGGTTTCTACATCATCTTAGCAAAAGGCCAAACAGTTTTGACTTTTCCAGCAAGTCATTTCTCCTTCTAGAAGGGTTGGATTGCTTGTGATTGCTTCACCCGGTTCACAGGATCAATGAGCTCAGGGTTTGCTCGCAGAGAATCAGCAGCTTGTGGTGCCATTGTCTGCTGTGTGCACGTTTACCAAGCGTGAATGGATATGCGTGGGATTTTTTTATTCTGCGCACCGTGGGAATCTTTCGGAAATTGCAACCTCGGAGATCTGTCGGTCCTTTTGTGTCCCATTTTCTGACCGGCCTCGGTTGATATTTGCCCACCCTGGCCAAAGGACATCTCTGATCAATGTGGTTCATCAATCCAAAGTTGATACTACCGAATTCGTTGTGTTGCAAAAGCCGAATGAACAGAACCTCAAGGTATTGTCCTCTTTGCCTGGCAAGCTGGGCGCGCGAGGCGTCCCGAGCTTCGGATGTTGAGATGTCAAAATCGATCGGCCCCGCAACGTCCACGCAAGCTCAACAACGAAGGCTTTCCGGCCCTGTCAGCCCCAAAAACGCAAGGCAACTTCCGTCCGACTTTCTAGGGCCCGGTCTGGTCCTTCGGGAAATGTGGGTGTCTCAAAATCGGAGACCCCAAAAAAGAGTCCCTCAAACAACAAAGCAACTGACACTCTTCCGCTCTGTCAAGCCTGCGCATGCGTTTTGAGCCCGAGCGCTGGAAGGCGCCTGCGAGAGCTCCGGGCACTGGCAAGCAGCGATCCAATTGCTGGGGGACGCGTGCCAGGCTGCGGGAAACCTGAGCTGCCAATGATCTCTCTCCCAAAAAGCCTTGTCTTTCTTTTGTCGGCCTCTGTGTAACTGGATCCCGTCTTTTTTGCTTCTATTTGGAAGTGCCTGAAGATAGGTCCTCCCCCCCAAATTACGGCTTCTGTAAAACTACACCAAAAAGGGTGCCCTCAAAATTGACACCTTGGCAGCCAACCTTGACATGTTGCGATTCCAAAAAGAGGCCGACAGCAACGTTTGTGTTTGCCAACATCTTCCATTTGCACAATTTTGCGCACAATTCCACGATTTTGCTCTGTTGGACCACATGGGTCTGCCGTTTTTAGGAGGGAGACCCCCCAATAATGGTAGTTGTCCTTCTGGTTTCCCATTCAAACCTGGCCCACCAATTTTTGCAAATTTTGCAGGCTTTGCGCAGCCGTGCCAGGCATTGCTGCAGCCGAACCTCGAAGCGTGCAACGCGCTGCTGGGGGCGCTGCGGGCCGCGATTTCGGGCTGGCAGCTGGGGCTGGCGCGGCTCGGGGGTTGAGGGGAGCCCAGGCTTAGGATCCTTCTATCCCAGTCAAGCAAAGTGTTGTTTTTCAAATCCAGTGAAGTAAAGTTGTGTTTTTGGAGAGGAGTCTTTTACGAAAAATTGCTGACAACAGATCTTTTAAAGAGAGCTTAGGATTCGGTGATTGCGACCAAAAGCGAAGCACAGAACTAATTGTGTGTCTTACGAGCTCACCCATCAGGAGACCTCTTTGTCAGGATAGCCCTGCTTCCAATTCCTGAAGTAAGTTGCGATGGCCAACGGTAGTTTCAAAATAAATTCAACTGTCCATTTGGGTCCAGCAGGGCGGTTGAAATTCATTGTTTGATAGTCAGGGACGCGATGCAGTTTTTCTTGCAAGGTGTGACTTTGTCACTGGCGTGGTGAAGAATTGCTTACTGGTTGGTTTCCTCGGCTTGGCTTTGCTCGGTTTGGTTTTGGTTTTATTGTTTGGTTTTGCTCTTTGTTGCGATAGTCTGATAGACCAAGCAGTGTTCTCTTTTCGGCCGGAAAACGGTAAGCGAGCCTATTTTGATACTATCGCATCCACGAACGCAGGGAAGTCATGTACTTTCTCTCTCCAAACAACTTACCTACTTCCCCCTATCTTTGACCCCCCAAGCAGCACAATCATGGATGCTACATATTTTATTTCATGGTATGTGATGGTTTCTTGGATTCTCAGGCCTGTTCATGTGGTTTAGGGGTTAGCTCAGTCCCTTGATAAGCCAGTTGCTCGAAGGTCCCCCAAAATGATCAGGAGCAAAGGCAAGCACATGTTGGGAATTTGTTAGCCGAAAGCGGCTTGCGTTGCTCAAAAACATCCACAGCATTGCCGTATTGGTTCAAGCCATTTTGGAGGGTCAACTGGTGTAAGCTTGTTTGTTCAATCTCGTTTGCTGTTTGCGTGGTTTTGGACATGTGCAAAAAGGTTTGGCGGTTGTTGCATCTCGAGTTCCCGGCAGCTCGCTCTTGATTCTCATGTTCTTGTGGCCATGCCAGGTTCTTCAATCGAATCTGTAGGTTTCCCAGGTTTCCATGGAAGCCAGTTGATGTGCTCAAGAACATCCCCAGCATTGTCAAGTTGTTGAAGGGCTGTACAGCAGGCAACTACATGCAAATTATACGTCTGTAGCTTGGATCCATATCTCCGCCCTAGTTTGCAGCCCCTAGATCTCCAAAATGGCCCCGAAAGGCTTTCGCTTTGATGCCAGAGGAAGGCACATGTTCCAAGCCATCTACATCGACCAGAATTGGCAAATGTGAGGAACAATGTTGCTCCGATGCTCAGAACTGGTAGGGCTTGCCCGAGCTGCCCATTGCCAATCAGGTCCATGGTCCTTGTTGAGTTATGCCTATTGGCCAACTCGAGTCTCAGCCGTTTGGAGGCGCTTTTGGCGCGCATGCAGCTGGAAGGGCCGTGGCCGGATGAGATCAGCTTCAATGCCGTGCTGCAAGCCTGCGCAGGCAGACATGGCATGCATCGGTCGACATGGTTCATTGTTCCTTTGAAAAGGAAAGAACACACCAGGGTATGACGCTTGTCTGTTGATTGTCCCTGGTGTTCAGGAGTGTGTAGTTTGCAGGTGTCAGGTTTTCTGGCCCTCATTCAGCGAACAGTAGGTCCGTGCCCATAAGAACACAGACCGACACCCTTCATCATATTCGCTGGACGAGATGCCTCTCAGCTCATATGTGTTGCTTCTGGATTCCCACCCAGACATCATTTTGAACGAGTTTGTGCACGTACCTTCTCTGCATGCCAGGCGCATGCCAAGCTGAGCTCGCCTTGGAAGTGTTCAATCAGTTGGAGTGCCTTGGAAGCAGCGCAGCTTGTATCCAGGGTTCCAGTTGCCTGGGTTTCACCCCTCTTTCCTTTTCTGGTGGTTGGGTTCCCTGAAATTCAATCTTCACCAATGCGGGTGTTCCTTTTCATCCTGACAACTGCAGGCAATGAAGAACCGGTCATTGGACATGAGACCGTGCAGGAGTTTGACATAGGATCACTCGTTGCTGCTTAGATGTTTGAGAAGTCCGAGAGGTATTTGAGACGGTCCGGCCATTTCTGCGGAGCGATTTGTTTCTGCAAACTTCACCCAAGCACTGTCTACCTGATCTTCCTGCAGGTCAAGCTGCCAGCCAAGCATCATCGCCTACACGTCTGTCCTGAGTGCTTGTGAGCGGGTGCAAGGGTGGCCCAGGTTTGCCGCGCTGCAGGGCATGACGCAGCTGTCGACCATCCGGCGTCTCCAGACATTGCTCTCCGATCAAAAACGGCTCGAGCTGCACGGGGGCAAGCTGGATGCCTATGGTTGAAGGGCTGGAAGTTAGAGCAAACACTTCAAAAAGCTTGGGGATATGTTTAAGGTTTTGATTGACTTCCGCTTTAACACCACGCGAGAAAAGATACCCACCCAGCGTCACTTTTGGGTATGTTTGGTGAATACCGGAGGTCTTGTTTGTTTGCTTGTTTGTTTGTTCTTGATTTCTTGATTTCTTGAGTTCTTTCTTTCTTTCTTTCTTTTCTTTTCTTTTCTTTCTTTTCTTTCTTTCTTTCTTTCTTTCTTTCTTTCTTTCTTTGCTTGTTTGTTTGTTTGTTTGCTTGCTTGCCTGCTTGCTTGTTTGCTTGTCGTTTCTGATTCTATTTGTTTCTTTGCTTCATTGTTTCCTAGTTGATGGTTTTGTTGTTTCTTTGCCCAACTTTTTTGTGTTATTTGTTGTTTTGTTATGTTATGTTTGTTTTTGTTGTTTAGCTTCTTTCTTGGTTTGTTTGTTTCAGCAAACTTGCCTGCTTGCTTGCTTGCTTGCTTGCTTGCTTGCTTGCTTGCTTGCTTGCTTGCTTGCTTGCTTGCTTGCTTGCTTGCTGGCTTGCTTTAGGTTTGTCTATTGTTTGTTGGTTTGTTGGCTTGCTTGCTAGCTAGCTTTAGGTTTGTTGTTTGTCCGTGTGCTTGCTCGTTTGCTTTGTTGCCTTGGCTTGCTTGCTTGTTTGCTTTTTTTTGCCCTGGCTTGTTTTCTCGCTTGCTTTGTTTTTTGCTTGCCTGCTTTGGTTGGTTGGTTGCTTGGTTGGTTGCTTGGTTGGTTGCTTGCTTGGTTTGTGTGTTCGGTTGTTTGTTTGTTTGTTTGTTTGTTTGTTTGTTTGTTTGTTTTGTTTGCAGTTTCTTTCAGCTGTGCAAGATCTCTACTTGTTCATGTTTTCGCATGCAGGCGCCCGCTCGCCGGCGAGAAGTGAGCGAAGTGGTTCTCAGGCAGAGAAGGCCTTTGTGGGCTTTTGCTGAGATGGCGGCGCGAAAAGAGGACATTTGACCATCTCCAATTTGCTGCGAATTGTTGGAGGGCGAGTGTGTGGCACAACAAACGTTGAAGTGTGTATGAAGCAAGCTTTGCCATGCGCAGAATCATAGCAGCGCCATGTGATGCTCATGTGCTGGGATTTGACATGCCAAGGTTCTTCTGAAGCATCCGCGGTTCATTGCATCGCGCCCGCGAGTCAAGGACCCAGGGTTTCAGTATTTCGTTCTGTGTAGGTGGCTCTGCTAAAGAGGGCAAGGCAACTCCGCACATGATGATTAGGGAACGGATCAATATTTGTTCATTGTCGCCTTAGTTGGGTGAAATTCTCAGCTACATTCCACTTGGACGGTAACAACATCAATGCACTGTTGTCAGTGTTCTTCATTGTTGGAATGGCACTCGCAACGACCCACCGGAGCCAAGCATGAAAATGGCAATTATCATGTTGCACCTCATTCTTGCCGCGTATGCTGAGTGTTTGGGTGGCTCAAATTCTGGGTGCCGCTTTCAGGATGCCCTGGGCGACACCCCGCTTCACCGGGCTGCTGCTTTTGGGCATGCCCATGTGCCGGGATGCCCTGCGGCGTACATGAATTCACAATGTAAACTCGGTGCTTTCCTATTGGACATCTCGGTGCTGCCAGCTACATCCAGCTACATTTCTGTTGCAGAATGCGTGACCTTGAAGTCTCTAGCAGTTTCAAGGGCACCTCGATCGTTATTTCATAAGGAAGCCATTATGTATATAGCCTGTTTTGGGCATTTTTAGGAGTCTGCACAAATGGTTGGGTCTAAAACTGTCATTTTGTAGAGGCAAGCGCTGGATGATGGAATTTGGTAGGGAGATGTGTTTGCCCACAAGAGTATAGCGCCGCCCGACGGTTGCCATGCAACAGGCAGCACTGGCTTTTGCACATTGTCAACAGAATCAATACACAATTACAGGAATGTTACGTGCGTTTCATGAAGCCCTGTCCATGGAACCTCTTAGCTTCAAGTCAGATCCTTCATCCTCCTTTCTGCAGCGAGTTGCTCACGTAATGCATCCATTTTCTGGACAAGTTTGCCGATCATTTTTGGATACCATCACTATGAACTGCCGTTCCAAGCCCACTCCTGAAATCCAAAGGGACATGTTTTGTTGCTTGTTGGACGGTTGAATGCATGTGCACCGATTGAACTCGATACCTGGAAGGCCACATTTGGTTTCCCAACACATGTTGGTCAGAAACTCGTGGACCATAGAGAATGTCTTGGCAATTGATAGCCTACTTGCCTCACAGGTTTCCTTGATTTGACATTTTGTCAGTCTCAACGCTCGTCACTGATCAATAGAAGGTTGAGGCCCACATGTTGGGCCTGGATTTGGCGAGGAAGTTTGCTCCTTTGCTTGCAGGACCGATTTGAACCAACTATTCGTGTCAAGCAAGAGGCGGCCGGGCCATAGTGGCAGAGAAATATCTAGATTAGTGTTCAATCCCGCGACACAAGCAGTCTGCTTGCAAAGCACGCAGTTGGCTTTTCACAGGCGCCAGTTGCTGAATTTGGCTTAGAGATCAGGGTCATGATTCAGAAACACCATAGGTTGGTTGCATTAAGCTTTGCTGCTAGCCCATGCCGAATGTCTGCCATGATGTACCGGTAGACACCAACCTGATGGCTCGCCCTTCCCGGGAAACGCAAGTTCACACGGGCACTCCACAAAAAAACAAGTGCTCGGAGCGCGCTCAATCATTCAGCAGCGGAGCAGGCACACTTCATCATCCTTGTTGTCAAGGGGATGGGGCACTCACCAGGGACCAGGCATTGCGGAGGCCCTCAGATTTAGCAAAAGCAGTTGTGTGCCATGGAGCGACCCATGCGACAGCTGCGACGTGGCAGCGTGTGCTTTGGTGTAAAGTGGGGCGGCATGTTTGAAGCGTTTGATTTCAATCCAGCGCGCCAAGAAAGGTGACATTTGAAAGGTAAGCGTTGGTTTCTTTGCCAGGATCGGGGCAGGTTCAAGTCCAGGATTGTCGGATGGCACGCTTGAAATCTAATGTCATTGGTGTTGGAGTCACACAAGATGCCCAATATGCGCTGCCTTCTACTCGGGCCATTGGATCTGATAGATGCAAATTTCGCTCATTCTTGATGGCCCTCGGACAGCGCCTGCTCGCCTAAATTGGATGCATCATTTGCCGGCATGGTTTTGTTTGGTTCCCGGTCAAGTTGTGAGGAAATGAAGCACACATCTTATCCCATGAGAAGCCCGTGAGTGTGCAAATAGCTGAAGAGCCATTTGGGCACATCAAAAATCTGATACACACCAACCTAGCAGCTCCCACAACCTCTGGGAGGGTTGACCTTTCAAAAAGGGCTACATGTTGGCTCAGTCTGGTCACATTCTATGATGGTTGAAGATAGATCTTTGTGCAAGCTGTCCGCTTTGTGGGCAAATGGTTGCCAACAGCGTTCTTGAGTATCCAAATGCCTGACAATTCTTCTCAGTTGTCAAAAATATACCGACCTTTTGACTGATTATACATTCCCAGCTGTGATTCATTTTGAGTCATGGTTTCAACATTTGCTGGTGCGAGCTCAAGTCGAGTGAGCATCTATGATCATGTGTTTTTATTCCTTGCTTTGCCCAGGAATGAGGTGGCCGTGATTGAGCATTCCGATATTGATATGAACATGATGTTTTTTTGAGCAATTGTTGACAGCATAGCGCACATTGTTGCACCAAAAGACACGCTGGGGCCAGTCAGATGTTCTGCCTGCTTGACGCCTGTGCATGCTCGCTTCAACTTGCTTCGGCGCGTTGAACAGATATTTGTTATCCTTCCACATCCCGCTAGGATTAGCTCGGAGAGCCTTGCCCCACAACAGCTGGTCTAAGGCACATGTTGGAAAAGGATAGGGTATGAGTTGTGAGCATCATGGCCCCATGCGAGGAGACACGGTGCAATTGAGACACACTGATAGCCAAATCGGTCCTGAAGAGATCCCACACTTGAGGATTTTGGGGCACGCTTAACCCTCATAAACCTCCCTTTGGAAATCAGGCCCCATTTTCACGGGGCTCCATCGAGCGCGGTGAGTCCGACCAAGCCCGAGGTGCGTTTGTGCAGTGCTTGGTCTGAGCACTTGCTTCGCGTATGCGGGCCATGCACTGAGGTGCGGGACATCCCGTATCTCAGTGGGTCCAAAATCCAGGATGGCACTAGGTTTACATTGATTTAGTGTTTCATTTTGATGAAGGAATCAAAAGAGGAGATATGGTTGGATAACGGATTTGATGCTGAAATTATGAACCGACATCCGTGATCCACTCAGGGAAGCATTCGGAGTTTGGCCCGGGAAAATGTTTTGCAGTTGAGTTGGCTTTTCTGTTGGGTTTCGGTGGCTGCGGGAGCCGAATGGCACACATACGCGATGGTCTCGACATGTTGGATCCTTGATTGCCGAGACGCAGCAGAGTAGAATGCTCGCACAAACACAAGTCATGAAACAAAATCGCTCAGAGCACGAAAAATCAAAAAGGGCACTTGCAAAACCATGCTGTTTGTGGGCACTACGGGTACACAAATCAGCACTGAACACCCCGATGGGGGACTCTTTGACTTGGAATATCCTTTCCAACAAGAGGACAGGTTATTGTCCTTGTTGGGAGCAGGGATACTCTATGGAAGAGGGCTTGCGAAGGTTTTTCTTGTTCGGCCACTTGACCGAGTAGCGCTGTATATTTGCTAGCTGATGTTGTTGTCGAAGATTGATTGTTGTGCTTGGTTGATCGTATCTTCTTGCACTTCGGATTTATGTGCCGAGTCAGTGGCTGATTAGTTTGCTTGTGTCGCGTGCAGCACAGTTGTTGTCTCCCTTCAGATCACATACACCTTCTCAAAGTCGAGCCCTTTTCTTGGATGAACCTCTTGCAAGAAACATATCGAAAGACTACACCTTGTTCTGTGACTAGCACGAATGGCTTTGGGTTTCCTAAAGTAGCCAACCCCAATGTAAACGGTTGGTTTACTTTTGGTCGCCCGTCGAGCCTCTCAGTTGGAGGCGGCAGAGCCTGGTGGACGGTCGTGTCTTCGGCACGGCCCGATCGTCGCGGGTCATTGCAAGGAACGAGGACGCGAGAGCTTCAAGCAGAGACCGCATTCTAGATTCAAGATTCAAGATCTAGAGTTATGTGAATTTTGAATCTTGAATAATAGATCCAAGAGCGCTTTGAAGCGTCTGCTCTCAGTCATTCCTGTTTGGGTCTGCACCTTAGTATTTTTTTCGACTTGTGCGCGGTAAATACAATTGATAGTTCAAAATATGGACGTTTTTTTTTTTTTTTGGGTTTTTTTTTTAAATGACTTTGAAAACTCCACACCAACCCTTGGATATGCAAAACACACACTGTAAATACCAGTGTTTTTCATGCTGTTTGGCAGCGGTTTTGTGCGGAAATATTTTGTTTAGGGACATTAGTTATTTTAGCAGACAGCGTGGCATTGGTCAGGGCATATGAGGCGCGTGCAGATGTTTTGGTATTGGCCGAGGTTTGTGAGCTGACAGACGAAGGGGATTTGCATATGAGTTGAGATGAGAGATGAAGCATGCGTAGCAGATGTTTTAGTATTGCCACAGTTGTTTAAGTTGACAGGCAAAGAGGATTTGCGCATGAAATCGAAGATGTGTAGGCGAAGTTGAAGCGGTATGATTTGCCTTTGTTTTGATACACTTGCGCCGGTACCCTCACAGAGATGTTTACTGCGAATTGAGCGAGGATAGCGTTAGCAATGAAGACATGCCACACCACAATTAGTCTGGACACATTGGGAGAACATCACGATTTCTATTGGACAGTAGAAGTGTTTTTCTTGGCTGACATTTTGAAAATTCAGAGATGTGACAATATTATGGTCCAGACCATATGACATGCTGCCTAGCTTTGCTTTTACACTGTCAAGCCTTGCTTATGATGCTATTTGTCCAATTAACTAGATTGAGTTTATGACCAGACTATGTTTAAAATGATTGGAAAAAGATCAAGAGGAGGAATACCATCGACAATTTGCTCAGACCGTAGAAGAACAAGTGATACTCATTTATATGGGTGGCAAAGTCTTAACGAATCATCTGCGAAAGTCTGCCAAATTGTGAAATTAACCCACTTTTGGTAAAACCTGTCTAAACTTACTTGACCCCCTTGAAAGGGTTGCTGGGACCCAAAGTGCTGTACTTTTCCCTTGAAAGGAAGTGAAAAAGGCTCACATGTGTACATACTTCGGAATCTTCCGCCAATGCCGCCATGTGCATTGCAGGACCCGCAAGGTGGGTCCGAAGTGCAGACGATAGGCCAGGGGGCATGGTGTGAGACATGGAGAGCATGGAGCCAAGAGAACTGCGAGAAATACAAGTGATGATGTCGGGGGTAGCAGGGGTTGAATGGATGCCAGACCAGCTGAAGTATAAATTGCACGCATGTTTTTTTACAATGTGCTGAGTCTAGCAGCGTTGGTGGTTGGATTTGCTGAATGCGGGATTGGGACAAGTGTCTACCCCGAAGGAGTTCTGACGCAAGGCGTCGA